TTGCTGTCAAACTGTGTTCCATTACTGGACCAATTTTCTCTGGACTGAATTTTCTCTGGACTGAAATTTCTCTGGATCAAGGTTGAGGGACCTTAGACATTATGAAAATATTGTTGATGGACCTTAGACATCATAAAAATATTTGATGTCCTTTATGCTATAAAATCATAATATCAAGGACCTTAAAAAAAAAACCCCTATTTTTAACGTCCAGCTAACGTTCTGAATATTCCGGTGACTTCCACTGGCGTTCATAACATTCCGGTGAACTTTCGGCAACTTCCCGGTGATGTTGAACATTCCGACGAGACTCCGGTAACCGTCTGACAGAAATCCGACGATAGTGGATGTAACAGCATTTGTAAAAAAAAAAAAAATTAAAAATAGAATTTTTTAGTAACAATTAAAAATATATAGGACTAATTGATAAAATTATTTTGTTTTGGGATTAAATAGATTTTGAACTTTATATATGGGATTTATTGGTAAGTTGGGCTATTTACACTTGATTAATCTTACGCTTATGTGATCTCTTCTTAGGTGGGTTTGAGAATTAGGACCAATCATTGGGCAGTCCAACCCAAACTGATCTGGCAATGCCCACTTCTATATAGACATACATATTGGATGCCTCTTGATCATGGACTGAAGAAAATCTTTAAGGTGCTACACACTTTTGTAGCATAGTGATGCAGATGCTGGAATTTACTAATAATTCAATTCTCAATTTTTATTTTGGAATAAAGGGGTAAAAAAAAAAAGAAAAAAGAAGAGGTTTCATTTAGATGCCCTTCCATCCAACTCCTCAAAGGGTATGAGCTTCTATTGGTCATGCAATGGTCCAAAAAAAAAAGGGTCACTTTTGCTCAATCCTCATGCCACCTGTCTTGCTTGGTTGCCATGTTACTTGCTCGGTTGTGCAACGTGACAGATCGAATTTTACCTCCCAGAAAATGTAATACTAGGAAAGATATGAAAATAAGTGGTTGTGAAATTTGTTGCATGCTTGTACAAAAATGATAATGCCAACTGATGGTAACAATGAAGAGAGTATATTTCCGGCCACAGAGTCAAACTACACTGATACAGCTTTGTATTGCCATGAAACCTACAAAATTGAGCCTAGGCCCGCCTGGATTCCTACCGAGTTTGGCGGCCGTGTGAGTGTCTCTCACTTACTTGTGCGTATATACATATACTATTTTTAAGTTTTGCTATATGCAGATAAATTTTTCACAGAATCAATCACAATTCAAAGAACGGGGCTCACATGGATGAGCTCCACCTTTTGTGTCTCTTTCTTGGTTTTGTAGAAAAAATATGTGCACTTATCTTCTTTTCATGTTGTATACAGGCCACGCATTACACTTTTGAATGTCCGAATTAGATTTGGCACATTACTAGTTGATAAGTAATCTATTACTTACAAATAAATTTTTACTAAAAATAAAAAATCTTTTGTCAATGGTATAAATAAAACATGATTCTACTATCAAAATATTGATTAAAATGAGACAATTAAGTTTAGAAAAGTCAAAACATAAGAATCATTGAGTTTTTTTGAATGTTCGAATTAGATTTCACATGATGCTAGTTGATAAGTAATATATTACTTACAAATAAATTTTTGCAAAAAAATAAAAAATCTTTTGTCAATGGCATAAATAAAACATGATTCTAATGTCACAATATTGATTAAAATGTGACAATTAAGTTTAGAAATGTCAAAACATAAGAATCATTGAGTTTTTTTGAATGTTCGAATTAGATTTCACATGATGCTAGTTGATAAGTAATGTATTACTTACAAATAAATTTTTACAAAAAAATAAAAAATCCTTTGTCAATGGCATAAATAAAACATGATTCTAATGTCACAATATTAATTAAAATGTGACAATTAAGTTTAGAAAAGTCAAAACATAAGAATCATTGTTTTTTTGAATGTTCGAATTAGATTTCACATGATGCTAGTTGATAAGTAATATATTACTTACAAATAAATTTTTACAAAAAAATAAAAAATCTTATGTCAATGGCATAAATAAAACATGATTCTAATGTCACAATATTGATTAAAATGTGACCATTAAGTTTAGAAAAGTCAAAACATAAGAATCATTGAGTTTTTTTGAATGTTGGAATTAGATTTCACATGATGCTAGTTGGTAAGTAATATATTACTTACAAATAAATTTTTACAAAAAAATAAAAAATCTTTTGTCAATGGCATAAATAAAACATGATTCTAATGTCACAATATTGATTAAAATGTGACAATTAAGTTTAGAAAAGTCAAAACATAAGAATCATTAAGGTTTAGGGCCTCTGTTGGTGATTTTTTAAAATTTATGATGGTCTTATTCCATTATTTGTTGATTTTTTAAAATTTATGATTATCTTATCTGATTCTCAAATCTTATCACTTGATACTCCCAATACTCATTATAACACGACTGTTACCGCCGCCTATCATATAGCGTGATTTAGAAACTTGATCCTAATCAAAAAAAATAAAACAAAAAAAATCAATCATATATAATATATATTCTTACATATATTAGGTATTGATTTTCTAGATATATTAGATATTGTCATAATTAGGTCTCTTATGAGATACTCTTTCTCATAGTTAGATTTCTAGTAAGATACTCTTGCTCAGCCTATATATATAGTCTTTCTATTATATAGGACAATTCATTCAATACAATACATATTATTTTTTCCCTCTCTACTATTCTAACATGGTATCAGAATTAGGTTAAGAACCTAGTAATTTTGCTTCACCGGCGGGCGGCAACCTTACTTTGACCGCCCGCCGAACCTCAACCTATTCCGCTGTCATATTTTCTTTTCAGTATTACTTAGTGGTGATCTTTTCCTCTATCCGCTGGTTTATACATACCCCAAATATCTCTATCATATATATATATATATATAAATATATATTTACTCGCAATACATTTTTCTTTTCTCCACTCTATCTTTGTCTCTGCTTTAACCTCAAATTGGTTTTTGTCTTCAAACCTATTTGAGTTTGGGAGTGGGTATTATACCTATATCATGGTGAACATGGTTATACACCATGCAAATCACCTAAGCAGCACTCTCTGGCGCACAATCCAAGCCGCACTCTCTGGCGCACAACCTAAGTCGTCCGTCTCTGGCACACAATCCAAGCCGCTTCTTTTGGCACACCACCAAACTCGCTCCCTGTCACACCATTCAAGTCGCCTCCTGGCGCTGTAGACGTCCCCGAACGTCCCGGGAGGAAATCCTTTGTTTTGTTCATTGGGCTCGCTACAGTTCAGGACTCAAAGTCACGGTCCTATATCTAATCTCACAGAGTGCAATGCAAGACCGATGAATCATCAAAGAGTCCAAATCCTGCAAATCGTTTTTTAAAACAGATTTTTTTGAAAAAAGTGCCAAACATGGACTGCTTTGCCAGTATAGAGTCGCCACCTAAATATTTTATTTTGGAAAATTTAGAAAATCCTGACTCGTTGCCTAAGGCCACGTGTCCGTCATCACCAAAGTTGCCTCGGCTCGGGAACTTGGGTACGATTGGGAAAGGTCACTTCGTGAGCACCCCCGCTCGCCCGATCAAAGATCAGCCTCTACTAACCATGATATCTAGTTTTGAAAACATTATGCGTTTTTATTTCGGTTATTAGCCTAGATTTGCTATGTGATGCGCACAGCATACAAGTATAGACTAGGTCGCCTGAATTGGAACAAAACATTTCATTTTCGTTTTTGAAAGCGGTTTGCTACTTGCAAGTAGGCTTGAAATGTAGATTTTGCCACCCTCGGGTGGGCTTAGAAAAGATAGTTTTGCCACTATCTAATGGGCTTAAAACTCACAGTCAATGCATTATTCCAATTCAAATAACCCAACCTTCACCCACAGGCATTCGGGTAGTTATATCATATAAGCAAATAGCCTTATGGTAAAGCATGCTATCATGGCAGTCACTCTCACACGTGCAAGAATGCTAAAGCATAACCACTTACTGGGTACTCCAAGCCAAAACAGAAGTTAATTAGAAATCCATGCATGATCCTAACTGCACAGAAATACCTAATGCAACACATGCAAAATGCAATCAAGATAGGCTCGGCTATTCTAAAGATGGCATGTGAAATGCTACAACTAACAAGTTTTCAATTTGGAATTGAAATACAAATGCAGTTAGTATGATGTGTCGAGCCCTGGTGCATGCAAGACAGATGAATGATGCAAACATGCAAGCATAAGTATGTTAATTGAAACATGCCCTAATCTAACCATCATAAGCTGGTAAATAAAAGGGAGAAAGACGTGGGGTTGGAAGACATACATCACACGCACGCACACTTATTACAATTGTGCCCTCGCTCGGAGGGTCCGAATAAATAATACAGTCCGAAATGAATACCGAATTACAACTAATTATTACACAACCACTAACTAATTAACAAATTAGCTAAGTAAGCTATAAACTGGCATGCAAATGGACTGTCCCGGCTCTGTTTTGGATGATAATGGATGCATGCATGCTCGATGCGCTTTGCCGGTAAATTCCATCGCAATGCCTTGTCTCGCCATTGTTTGCAGCTGATTTCAGAAACTTACACAAAGCCCCAAGAGGCTGAAACTCCACCTTGGGAAAGCCACCGACCAGGTATTGGCTTAGAAACCCCCTGCCGACCACCCCTCATGGTGAAAACCAAAAAAGGTGGTCGGTCTACCAGAAAACCTGGTCGGCCGACCACTTT